TAAATCCCTCAAACTTAGCCAGTATGTTCGAGCATATTGGCAAAAACTATAAATTTATGCCTCGGGCATATTTGGTCTCAGGTCAGGTGTAAACCTGAATCCAGTGGATTTGGCAGGTTCACAGGGCTCGGAGCCACGTATGGTTGTTCTACAGTTGCATGATTCGAAGACTAAGAGCAGTCTTCGTCATTGTTAAGCATTAAATACATAAAAAAGATCACTTGCACAAATATCACAAGAAAGTTTGGCAAGCAAGGATGTAAACACCTAACCCATTTGTGCTCAATTGACCAGAGTTGATGCATTAGAAATTCAGAATGCAGACACCAGCAACCAGATCATGCAAGACGAAAATTCTAAATGGAACTCGAGCTCCATGGAGACCGAATTTTGATAATTCAAAAATAATAGTTTTATGTTTCAAAAAGTTCTGAAAAAAACCCAGAGATGTAATGTACATGTGTATAAATTTCATGGTGAAATATGTTAAAATGAGAGCTACACAAAAAAAAGCAAATATGTGGCTTTTTAGTGCATGCACTGTTCACTCTCAAAGTCCACGATTCTTTTTTTTTTGTGCAGCTTGTAATTCAAGGTATTTCATCGTGATTTTTCTTTAACCATGCAGGAGAGCTGCATGTATATTATAATAAAGAGGGAAAGGATACACACGACCAGTTCGACAAAAACTCCAAAACTTAACAAAACAAAAACAGAAACAAACAAACAAACAACAAGCGAGCAAAATAACAGTGATGGCCACAGCTAGCAGCCTATTAGTGAAGGATCATACGCCCCAGATTCGCCACCTCCCATCGCCTAGCGTCAGATATGACTTGATCAATGACTCTTTGTAAAGGAAAGAAGTGATTATCCGTAACCCTGCCGTTCCTCTCACGCCAAATGCTCCAAATAATAAGGTGCGCCAAAGAGTTCAGAGATTTCCTCTTAGTGTCTTGAGTTCTCGATCTAGCGTCGAGCCACCAATCACGGAGGGGCAAGTTGCCCAAAGAAACACCGAACTCCAGATAATCCGAATGACCGTGCACCCAGTAAACAGATGATGAACTGATTCTTGGGCACTATGACAGAAACAGCAAGAATCCTGATGAGGCAAGCTGTGCTTGGCAAGGCGGTCCACCGATCTAGACTCGCCCTCTGACGACCAACCAAAGAAAAAGCTTTGTTTTAGAGGTGCCGATGTCTTCCAAATACTGCTTGCTGTCCTACACTTAATTGAAGTGGGAATTGTAGACTGATTTTACTGAGTATGACCCCCTCAGCCTCCCAACTGAATGTCCATCTGTCATCAGCAGTGGGATCAATTTGGACATTGGTAATGATCTCCCACAAGGTAAGCACCTGATGGAACATATGAATAAAAAAAAATCTGCCTCTTAATATATCTGATCCATGCACCATTGGTCATTGCTTCCACGATGGTTCTCCTCTCTCTAACAACCATCGGTATGGCACTGACGATATCCGGAGCAAATTCCGCAACAGCAGCGCCCTGCACCCAACAATCTGTCCAGACAAAGCATCGTTGCCCATTGCCCAGTTCGACCCGAGCCGCCACATTGAATAGCTGTCTTTCATGATGCTCCAGGGAGGCTAAGCAATAATGCTCCAAGATCGGTTCCCTGCTGTATGCGCCTTCCATGCTCAGCATAACTTGAGAGCGGAGTTCATAATCTCTAGGTCCAGGATACCCAGACCCCCACACTCCTTTGGCGTGAGTAGGAGGCCCAAACAGGTGGAAGATCCCCAGGTGAAACCGAAACCGACATAGAATATGATCCTAGTGCAGCTTACATTTTCACAGTGTTTACTAAAATTTAGGAACAGACACATGAAATTCAACCAACACACTCAATCTGGCATCGTAAGGTTCGTGGCGTAACATAATATTAAGTGGGAGCCATAGAACAGGAGGCACACCTGGAATTGCGTCCGGGCATTGCAGAGAACTTCAGAGAAAGCATAGCCCCAGCTGCAGCGCCTGGCAACCTGGGTGGGAGAAAGACACGGGATGCCCCTTTCTCAGGACGGTTTCTTGCACGCATTTCGTCGAGCACCGGTCCTGCACCCGCAGGGGGTCATCTAATCGAACACCACCAGCCGGGCATTCCGACGGGGCCATTTCGTCAAGCACCATCGGGGCGCTCTCTGGGCGGAGCTTCACTCACCTCCCGCGGCTTCTCGCAGTCCGGCCTGCCGCCGCTTGTCTCCAGTATGGTGCATCAGCACCGGCAGCCTTGGCGCTGCGACATGGCAATGAACTCTAATCTTGATTCAGGCAGTAAATTACGCCATGAGAGCGGGCAGGTCGAACGCAGGGGTCCATTTCTCACGATCGCAAGCTGCATGCGGCAGATTGGGTTCGCGATTGCTGCGGCAACAGAAACTGTACTAGACTCTGCAAGCGGACAAGACATACGACGACACCCCTGCTATTTAGGGATCGGTGGCCTAGTAGGGAAATCCCTATTTGCCGCGCGTTGCGGCATCGCACAGCAGCCGCACTAGCAAAGCGACTGAGCCGGCCCATTTAACCAGTTCGTTCGTTCATGTTGACGAATGTTTTTTTTACTCCAGTTTATTATAGTTTTTGTTTTTTATGTTTTCCTGTTTCTTTTTTCATTTCTTTTCCGATTTCAAGTTTATTTTACTTTTATAAAAAATGTTTGCAAATTTCAAATATTGTTTGGAATTCACAAAGTTATTTCTATTTTTTCAATTATGTTCACAATATTAAAAATGTTTGCTAATTTGAAAAATGTCTGCATTTCAAAAATTCTTCATAATTTTCGAATATTGTTCGGCTTTCACAAGAAATGCTCGAAATTTTAAAAAATGTTCCTGATTTTGAAAATATGTTTAAATTCAAAAAGTGTTCACATTTTTCCAAAACTTGTTGGGGATTTAAAAAATTATTTGGAATTTAAAAAAAATCCCTTTTTCATTATTTGTTCACAAAGACAAAAAAATTTGTACCCAAATTCAGAAATTGTTCACATTTTTTCCCGTTCTTGATTGTCAATTTTTTTTGGTGTTTTAAAGAATGTTCCCGTTTTCAAGATTTGTTCACAATTTTTTTTAATAATTATATTTTAAAATTTTGTTCACAATTTTTAAAAACTTGTTCGTTTTTATCAAAATTTGTCATAATTTTCTAAAAATGTTCTCACTTTCCAAAAATTATTTCGGTTTTGAAATTTTGGTTAAAATTTCAAAACGGTTCACAAATTTTCACAACTCATGTGTGTTTGTCAAAAACGTTCGGAATGTTTTAAATATCTTCCGAATTTGTAAGAAATGATTAAAAAAATCGATGTGCCCATGTAACTAGTTCTAAAGAGTTCGCCTCGCCTATTTACCAGGAACACTAATCGGCCATAATAGTATTATAGCTGGTCGTGAGTTCGAATCCTAGCTTTCGCTTCACATTTTTCTTATCAACGCTCGTCGCTCCTACGTGGGCCGGCCCAGTGGGATGACTGCTTGTGCGAAGCCCCGACATTCTATCGCAGAATGCGGTAGATAGGAGGTCTCGCCTAGTAGAGTATAATAACAAAATGCTACCCATCAATAGAAAAAATACAAAGTAAAGCTCGTGCTTGGCTATTGGGCATACCTGGCCACATGGGTCGTGCTTTTAAGGCCGGTCCACGGGCACGGATTTTTGGCCCAGCAAGTGTCTGACATAGCATGTGGATAGAAGGGTACATGAGCTAGTAAGTATAGTACTCACATCGATAGACCATGCTCTATATTGGGGTTGAAGAGGATGACATGCATATTTTCTTCTCTTGCCCCTATGCTAAAGCAGTTGGGTTCTCTACTAGTAAAATCCCTTGTTTATTATATCATAGTTGTTACAACATCACACGTATGTGCCGGAAATTATTCAGGTCACCCAATTTTTTTTTATTCAGGTCATTCTAAACTCGGGGCACTCCCAAGCCTCTTTGTGCACTGTCTGACTCGAGGGCTCCCTTGAGTAAGTTCGACCCGCTTATGGGGCGGGTAGCGTCTAGGGCGAAACCTTGGTGCGGTCGTTTTACAACAAAAGGGAGTACGACCGTCCTTATATATGAAGGAAATATGCCTTAGAGGCAATAATAAAGTTGTTATTTATATTTCCTTATATCATGATAAATGTTTATTATTCATGCTAGAATTGTATTAACCGGAAACTTGATACATGTGTGAATACATAGACAAAACAAAATGTCCCTAGTATGCCTCTACTTGACTAGCTCGTTAATCAAAGATGGTTATGTTTCCTGACCATAGACATGTGTTATCATTTGATGAACGGGATCACATCATGAGATAATGATGTGATGAACAAGACCCATCCGTTAGCTTAGCATAATGATCAATAAGTTTTATTGCTACTGTTTTCTTCATGACTTATACATGTTCCTCTGACTATGAGATTATGCAACTCCCGAATACCGGAGGAACACCTTGTGTGCTATCAAAC